AAAATGAAATCTGAACCCCTGTGTTCATGTCGATCAGTTAAAATGAAATCTGAACCCCTGTGTTCATGTCGATCAGTTAAAATGAAATCTGAACCCCTGTCTTCATGTCGATCAGTTAAAATGAAATCTGAACCCAGAGTGTGTTCATGTCGATCAGTTAAAATGAAATCTGAACCCCTGTGTTCATGTCAATCAGATAAAATGAAATCTGAAATTCTGCATACATGTCAATCAGTCAAAATGAAATCTGAACCCACTGTGAACAGGTCAATCGAGTTTATGGTATGTGCTGTTAAACCTATTTATAGGCAACAAAATAAGTTCTAAAAAAGAGCCCAATGTTTAATTGATGGTTATATTCTTTGCTTTGTAGAGAAGTACGAGACATTTTGAGACCTCTGTTTTGGGAGACTATATACTATTCATTCAATGTAGAGATATAAAAGCATCAGATTTGATGACCTTAGCACAAATATCAGACTTACCCGTCAAGTTCAGCAGTCTCTATGTAACACAAGCTATGGGGCTCACTGGTTGATAGAAGGAAAAGGTCCGCCTGACAAGAAAATAAATAGATTCAGAATTGTAACTATAATCTATCAGAGAATTTCTGAAAAAAGGCTTGGGAGTTCAAATTGGGGGGGGAAATCACCACCGAAAACCGGAAATTTGGAAAAGTTTAGATGTTGACAAATCACTACAGGAATTAACTATTTAATTAGTAATATGCAAAAATATGACATAGATGGACTAATAATGCATAATATCATAGTCATATGTTAATGAACAGTATGTGATAAAGATGAAAGAACGAAGCATGAACGAGACATTTTAGGTAAAGTTGTACATACCGCCACAAACTGATTATTCTCCATCTTGATGATATCTCCGACAACAACTTTGTGCCACCGTTCCTCCACCAGTTTCCCGTCCCGCAATACAAAAGACAGTCGATCGTTGACCTGCCCATCGCTACGATGTCGTCTCTGTAAAGTAGACATTTCATTTTCAAAAATAATTTATAATTATATATTTCATCAAAATATTTTACAGAACTACATATTTTCATACGTTTTTACCATATTAAAACCTAATTATTAAATGAAAAACAATAGCAATAATTTCAAAAGGTTATAAAATTCATTTCAAGCAATTTCATTATATTTTTAAATCTTCATTGGTTAAATCAGATTAAGACACTGCATTTGATTAACTTCATCATTTAATATTCTTTGTAGAAATGATTTAAATTACAACAATTTTACAACTGTTATTTACAGAATTAATATAACAATAAACACATGTTCATTTCACTTTGCTTTATGAAGAGTTAGTAACACAAGGAGAGGCAGAAGCAGAGGGCTATAGGCAGGCCAACACCACACCACTGGTACGTAGTTAGTAACACAAGGAGAGGCAGAAGCAGAGGGCTATAGGCAGGCCAACACCACACCACTGGTACGTAGTTAGTAACACAAGGAGAGGCAGAAGCAGAGGGCTATAGGCAGGCCAACACCACACCACTGGTACGTAGTTAGTAACACAAGGAGAGGCAGAAGCAGAGGGCTATAGGCAGGCCAACACCACACCACTGGTACGTAGTTAGTAACACAAGGAGAGGCAGAAGCATAGGGCTATAGGCAGGCCAACACCACACCACTGGTATGTAGTTAACAAAGCATGCAATACACGAGGACGTAGGCATACACATCAGACAACTATGACAAAAAAATTCAGATGACAATTTTTCAAAAACATTCACAATTTTTAATATTTTAAAACCTGAATACCTCCTTAAAATGTCTCAGTAAGGAAATTATAAATTCCCATGGACTTTTTATCTTAAATCAAGTTCCATTCAAAATTAAACTGATTTCATTCAATAACAGACCATTATATCCCTTTCATTTACATATTAAGCTCTGTAACCTTTGACCTCTGATACCAGGTAAATGCAGCATAACTTTAAGATCAATGATGGTAGAAATACAAGCATTGTTATTTACCGCATAGGTAAAAAGAAGAAAGTTCACTGAAATTGGTTGAAATATTCTTTCTCTTAGAATGGCTTCTACTAATTATTTTAGACCCTTCAATTTATTTTTTTAAACTCTTTAGAATAAAACTTAAATGGAAATTAAGAGACATTTGAGTGTCATTTAATTCAGGATTTCCTTAATCCTCCATGGCTACTGTATCAGCAAAATATGTTTTAACACTGATAAATGAATTGACTGCTTCCTGATCAATAGAGATATAAAGAAAGTCATCAAATTGAAAAAGAGACATCATCATAAATATCAATAATAAATATTCGCAAAATGTGCAAAATGCAAAGGTCCTTTACAATGGAAAAAGGATAAGAATAGTGTTGAATTATTAGTTCCTTTACTGCAAATCATGCAGAATATTAATACATATATATTAAAAATACATTAAAACATCACCATTCTATTAGACAAAACCATTGCTATCATCTAATGTAAAATATTTAAAAACAACTCTCTATAACAATATTGCAAACAGACTTGGGTGTTTGGTTTCACTTTGTGCCAACCATGCAGAAGACATGCTTTTTATCCATCAGTTTTATAAAACGTTTCTGTCAATATCCAGCCTCCCGTCTCTTTAATCTTTCTACATGAAGTACAGCTTCAAACTTTATAACCAAGCTATCGTGATAAAGTTACCACCGCTATTGAAAGTATTTTCCACTGACTGAATTCAGGTATGTATGCTACATGTAGAGTAAAAATTGGTATTATTTGTATTATGCATATCCAATATGTGACATATTCAGCTTAAAACTATGTTTTAGCTTTGTAGAATAATCTACTAAAGCCAATAAAACAGAATCTTTGTCATCATGTTCTCTTCACTAGTTTTTTAATGTAAAAGTTCCTTAAGTCTTACTTATAACAAAACAAAATAATGGATAAAGAAAAAGGGAGATAATAAAAGGGGAGGTAATTAAAGGGAAACAATATCAATAAATTCAACATCTCTATTTTTCAGAACTATACTGAGAAGATAAAGAGCACTTATTAAGGGAGATAAACATTTTTCAAAACTGACTTTTTCTGCATTTTTTTAAATTGTCGGGAGGCCTATATAGTGTTATCCAATCATACAAGAGTTACCGCCCCTTCTTTAATTAATATGCAGGCAAAATCATGTATAGATGAGATAACTCAAGCCATGCATATTTTGAGTAAAAAGCCAACATATCCCAGATATACAAGATTACAACTAGCCGGGTATTATTTATAAGTTATTAACGATTGACAGAGCTTTAGGGAATTCACTACAAAGAAAGCATAAAATCTATTACCATAGTACAAAGTAGCAACAGTGCAATACAGTAAAAAACTGATTCATTCATTCTTCATCCCCATCCTAAATACTGGCATGAAACAGTTATGCACAAGTCAAAATGTGTTTGCCATCATGCTTTCTGATGGTGCAAAACCCGACTCACAAAATCATCAACCGCGTCCTTGAGCGCGGATACTGCAAGCACAGCGACCAATGGAATCATCGTTGTTAAAGGCGTCAGGGAGGAGATTGCTGGAATCAGCTGATGGCGAGACGTAGGAGGAAGGGGATGAAGCAGAGGAGACAGAAACGTTAGAGACAAGCTTACTATAGAGAATACAGCACTCTATACGCGAAATTCTTATCAGACTACAACAGCACAGAAACGTCCTTCCGCCAGGGGGAGACAACCAAAAAGCTGTCATTTACATTTCAAATGATTCAAAGCCATGATTGAATTGAAACAACTGTCCAAGTACCAGCTGTTTGCATAATAAACACACAGTAGCTTGTCTGTGATTTTCATCAGAATTGTAACATGACACTTCGTTTGAACATGCCTTATTATACATACGTATTATACAAGTATTATATATATAAGTTTCATTTTTTAATTTTCTACATTACTGTAACAGTACAACCTGGAGTACCATATCTAACCTATTAAGTAATTAACTCCTGGCTTTAACAATTTGGAAAAATTAGAATGTTTGGTGAAGTTCCAGAGTTCTCAAAAAGTAGCCAAGTTGACTCCTTTTTTCCAGTAAGTGGATATAAATTATACTGAAAAGATGACGGCCAGAAAAGGAATATTTGGGCGTTTATCAAGAATGGAACAATTATTGGGTAAAATATGGTATCTTATTTGAAAATTGCAACAAATTTTAAAAAAATATATAAATATCTTCTGCTGAAATATGGCATTTAAATGGAAACACTGACTGTTTGAGAAGTATAAATGACAGCTTTGTGGAAGTTTGTCATCTGAAAAGTGGCATGTTTTTAATCAAGGATGTGCCGAAGGCCTTGAATACAGCAATTTGAAGGGCAACTGGGGGCCCTTGTATGGTGCTTTCAGGGTCAGGAAGAGCAGGTCGATTCTTAGCTGAAGCCTATAGGAAGAGGAAGTGAAGCTTGCAACAATGACATCAAGTTGAAGCAGCTGCAAGTATAGTTCTTCTGAAGCAAAATGAGTCTTAACGTTATTATCTAAGACTAGAGTCACATTAGAAAACATGGTATTTAGACAAATGAAAAATGCAATACTGTCATTATTTTTTAGTTTTCATTGAAAATGCCTTGCCCGAGAAATGTTCGGATGAATCGATATAGTAATTGCAAAGAGTATTAATTGGAAAATGTTTAATGTTATTTCTTTGAAGAATGCATTTACCATCACGATATCTATTAGATCGCTTCTATACAGGGTAATTTTTTTTTTTTTTTTTTTCATGGTCATTAAGGCTGTGTTTTCAAAATTTTGTCTCAATTTCTCCTTGATATTTATTTCAATCAGCTATAATTGCAGGACAATTAATAGATTGTATAATAGAAAGTACGGAAATTTGTTCTTCAGATATGTAACATTCTTCTTAGGTTTAATAATTATTTTTTTTATTTTTTTTCTGGTTTTTGTTTTTGATTCCATCCTTTTAAAATTTGTGTTTAAATTTGTCATTGATTTTTTTTAAATTTCTAGTTTTAAATGTTTTTGAAAAACCAAAATAACTTTACAGTTAAGCATTTTTCTATTGTCAAATTTAAATTATAAAAAGAAAACTTGATTAGTTTTTGCCTTATAGTATTTTGTGTTAAATACCAGATTATAGAGTTTTAGATTTACATTACAGAGTACAGGAATAAGTACGGACATACTACTGTCGGTAAAACATGACAGGACTATGATAATAAAATATAAACACTTAAAACCTGAAAACAATGAAATAAAAAAAATATCCAAATAAACCATAACCAAGTGAAAATAATACAAATATGTTATAAAGAAATTGTGCGGAAGCGTTAGATAAAAAAAAAGTTTATTACGATGAAACAAAATAAACTAAAAGCACAGTAAATTAATCTGAAGTGTGACGTGTGATTGTTACAGTTGTTAGAAAAGCTGTAAAATGATATCAGCAAATTTTTGCTTTTTGTATGTGTCAGTTGTTTTGGTAGATGGCAAGTTCTAAATGTGATGAAAAAAAATATAACTACCATTTGGACACTTATATGAAAATTTCAAACATTCTAAAAAATGGAAACAAGTGACAGGAAAAATCGTAGAATCTATTTAATTTTGTTTACGACATAAAGGAAGATATATCCAGCATTTGCTATCTTATATAGTGAATGACTTTACCTCAGAGGTATCCTTGGAAATGATAGATGTTTTATTTTATTTTCTCTGGGGAGGAAGAAATTCCTTTAAAAAGTCTATGTCAAATTATACAGCATATAAAAATGAGAAAAATGGAATCATAATTAACAAGTAGGACCATTTTGAACTTTAATGTCATATAAAATATATCATTGAAGAATTTCTTAGAGAGGTGCTACTTTCCAATTAATTTTTCTAACATAATTCATATTAACTTTCAAATTATTTCATCAAATTAAGTCAAGGGAGATAACTATAACATCATAACAAATTTTCATTTTTTAGACTGTTTATATTAGAAAGATAGTTTTAAAAGTTTAAAAAATTATGATCATTGCAGTGGAATGTGTAAGACATTATTCTACAATTTGTAACATATATTGATAAATTTATAAATGACTAATATTTTGAGGCAGTTAATCAATAGGAACAAAAATCTGCTGATATCTCTTTATTGAACAAGTGAAGAAATAAAAATAAAATCGGTGTTCTGGTGTAAGTAGTGTTATAATCGCACAACAGTGAAAACATGATAGATGTGTACCACGCCACGAAGCGAGATTCTAAATCAAGTAGAAACCCTGGTCATTTTAGAAGTTAGCACTAGCCACCAGGGTACTTCAAACAACCTTGAACTTACGAAGTCATCAACAGCGTCTTTTACTGCAGTAATCCCTAACACAAAAGCTAGGGGTACAAGGGTCGTATACCAAGGCAGCGAAGATATCGCCGGGATTACCTGGTGAAAATATTTCATAGAAGAAAAGCAATTTATATATTTGTAATCAAAGCTATATGAAAATGTGAGTTATATTATACTGTATAACACGAAATGTTCGTTTGGTATAAACATTCGTGGTTTTCGTGGTTCAATACAAAAAAAACAAATTTGAATGATATATGTGTCTACTGTTTGTTAAACAATCTAAATGGCTTCAAACCATGAACATTTCATGTAATACAATAGTGGAATTTCCTTCCATAAATTTTTAGTTTTACCTAACCATGCTATTTTTTTCTTAGCATATAACTCAAACATCTAAATGTAATATCTTCTGTCTCTGTTCGAACACCAAAATTTGTATATTCACAAAAATCGCAAAACATAATTTTCCTGGATATATCATTCATCGAAAATTGAAGCGTCTAGCCTCAATCATCATCAATTGAAATTCCAAGGAAATCCACCATATAAAATTGATACAAATTGTGCATAAATTTTCTTGTGAAATAGAATGAGAAATAAACTAAGAATAGCAAAACCAAACACATAATCAAGTTATGAATAAAAGGTATATAGGACCTGTATCGCTAACCTAGTTTATATTCTTAAAAAAACCAAGATCAAATTTACTTGAAATATAGACTGAGGTCGCAATATTTTCTTAAACAGAGTACATAGTATTCAAGTCTTGTCGCTGACACGTTTTTTCATCTCACAAAGTTTCTATTGAATATTGCATCTTATACAAATTCAAAAGGAATTGGGTGACAGGCCTAATGCCTATACAAGCCCTCTCCTGGAGAAGTCGCAATATTTTCTTTAACAAAGTACATAGTATTAAAGTCTAGTCGCCGATGCGCAATTGGTTCCAGATACAATTCCATCCAGTTTGGTCCAGTACATAATGAAAGAGGTTTGAATAACAACTGGCAGACGACACATGGATGATAATTATAAGATACAGCAAACTCATATAGATTATTTTGTGCTTCTGAAAACCCAGCTAAAAATATACAAATGCTTGTGCATACGACTCCTGTCCAAAACCAGTTATAACCGTAAATATGATATTATAACACAAGACTGATGTTAAAGGAGACCATAAGCCATATTAATATCCTGTAATAGTCCCAGGGGGCCAACACAACCTTCCACTCACAGTATGGGGGCTGAGCTTTTAATATGACAATGAAAAAGCATTGGTTGCTTTTCTATAGAACTGCAATATAACTATGGATGGGCTCATTACCAGGCATGCGCTTATAACAGGTTATATACAAAATATATATGTAAGCATTGTAAAAACATTATCCCTTCAATTCTTCACACCTCTTTAACCAAAATACATTGTGGCAGGTTCATAGATATATATATATATACATTTATATGAAAGTCAATCATCAAAAAAATTCAAGTTGACCTTGTGCTTTTGATCTAATATTGTTTTGATTGCTGCAATCATCTTGAAAAGTAATAAAAATCTAAAATGCTAAAATTTGCACAAAAAAACAAAACAATATATAAATCTTCAATCTAGCTTGTCATTACCAGGTCATGCCACCAACTTTTGTGGATCAAGGTCAACCAGACTACAAGTTCCGTGGATCAAGGTCAACCAGACTACAATTACATTTTCATCAAATGTCTATTGTTAACACATTTACATACTTTAATCGAAATCATTTCCTTCGAAATTTGTATATGTTATGTTTATTTAGTTGGACAGACTGACACTTATTTCTTACAAACATGGATTTTTCCCTAAAGAAATAATTTAGCAGAATGCATACGTTGGAATCAACAATTTGGAGTTTTGAATTATTCAAAGATTTTCAAGTCTGCTTTCATCATGCAAATTTGGCTTTTTAAAGTCAAGTATAAAAGGCGAGCTTGAAGACAGCAAATCGTTTTGGAGCTGGAGCGTTTTTTTCCCCTTTTTTGTGTTTTTTAATCTAAATCTAAATAAAGATGTTCTTTTGAATCACAGAGGTTCTTGAACTGTATCATTTATGCTCCTGAGCTGAGATTCAAGTCAGTCTTCAATCAATAATTTGCAAATCTTCATTCCATATTGATGCTTTTAAAAAAAAATCCATGGCTCAAAATAGAGGAATTTCTAAAATCTGTTTTGAGATATTTTAAAAACAGATGGAGAAATTGT